GGGAGCAGTATGGAATTTAATCAATAAATAAGTGTTAATTTTGTCATATAAAATTTTAACTGGGACAAAGGCTAAATAGGGGACGTACAGAGAGTCCACGCAGACGCACAAGGAAGTTGACGGCTTCGCAGAGCTCTGACATTGTCCTATGCGCGGCCATTAGAGCAGCGCTTGATAAGGAAAGAGAAAATGAAAAAAAGATAGGATAAATAAAGATAAGCACAATTAAATAGGATAAATAGTTAGTTTTAGAGTTGTTTTTTTAATTACAGAATTAATAGTGCCAAGCAATGTATTGAATAGTCGGGAAACGAAGACAGTTGCAAGCCAAGCATAACTCGCCTTTTAATTGTGGTTAAAGCATGGTATCACTACAGGTTCCTGCAACCTCATGAGGCACTAGCGTTAGGAAACGATTAATGAAACTGTTTATCACGCCTTCATCGAATAATTTGAGAAAATCTGGGTTAGTGGGACTAATATTTTTAAGATCATAGATATAAAGAAAAAATGAGGAGGGATCTGACCAGGATTCTCATTCCTTAAGATTATAAGAAACTCCAAAATATGACCAATAAGAATTTATGGAGGATCTCGTAATTGATAACTAAGAGACGTGATAAGAAATTGCTTTAACATGGGATTAGAAGAAAGCATAAGATCAAGTCAGACCACCGAAATGTCGTTTCTGAATTAACAACACCCACGTACCCAAATAACGATATATATACGTAGTGCATTCTTCCTTGATTCTTCTTAATTTCGAACTGATCTTGGAGAAAGGATTAAATTTTTTCCGCCAAAATAAAGAAGCCTTTCGAAAACATTTTTTAGGAAATCATAAGTATTTCTAAAAATATCCCTGAATACACAAAACGAGAAACGGAGATAAAAATAATAAATAGTGAATTTTCCCAAAGGATTAAAAGCATATGAGAGGAAGGAAGCGAATTTTTGGTAAGTTTTGATGTGCCACCATAATGCAAAAATCTCAGGAAAAAAGGCGCTGAAGATGCTGCAGAAAATCTTAGATCGAGAAGAGGATCGGGAGGGAATCATTAACCACCAACTTCTCATTCAAAGGCGACATATGAATAAATATTTGGACTTCTATGAGATCTCTACTCTCACTTTTTTGGCAAGCGTATCTAA